ATATAAACTAATTTGATAAAATAAATATCAAAAAATATTTTTAAAATTTTTAAAATTATTTTTAGCCTTCTAAAATTTAAAATTATATAAAAATAATAAGTGTTTTAATTTTTAGTCAAGGGTAAAGGAGCCTTTTTATTTTATTTCCCAGCTCAGGATATATAATCCTACCCTTACCCCATTACTAATAATCTTACAAATTTGTTGGATTAATTATCCATTGAATTAATAATCCTGAAACAAAATTTCAAAACAAACACAGGATTATTGGGCCTACGGATTAATAATTCCAATTCCATGTTCTAATCTTGTCAATCAAACATGCCACATGAGTCTGTTACATCCTCTTCACCTTCTCCCCCCGCCGGCTCCTTCTCCTCCTCCATTGTAAGTATATTCTTGTCGCAAGGCTCTCCTTTCACTAGTTGTCTCTGCCCCTGCTGCTGATCCCCTTGCTTCTGACGACTCTGATCTTGCTAACTATAAGTATGCCCTTCGCATCCGTAAACAGATAGTCAAACTTGGTTTTGCCAAAACATGTTTTTCTCCTTCTTACTGTACGTTTTTGTCTACTATACACTCTTTTTCAGAACCTCAGTCTTACAAGGAGGCCTGTTAGGATCCTCATTGGATTCAAGTTATGGAGGATGAGTTGTCTGCTTCGTAGAAAACTAATACTTGGGAGTTGGTTCCTTTGCCTGGTGGTAAGAACCTAGTTGGTTGCAAATGGGTTTACAAAGTCAAGACTCATTCTGATGGTTCTCTTGAGCTCTACAAGGCTCGCCTAGTTGCAAAGGGTTTTTCCCAGGAGTATGATATTGATTATGAGGAGACTTTTGCCCCTGTTGCCAAGATGGCTATTGTCCGTACTTTTATATCTGTCGCTGCTATTTGTCATTGGCCTCTTTATCAGATGGATGTTAAGAATGCTTTTTTTAATTGTTATCTAGCTGAGGAGGTTTACATGCGTCCCCCTGGCCTTCACCATTCCTCTAGACAGGTTTGTTGTTCTCGGCGTGCTTTGTATGGTTTGAAGCAATCTCTTCTTGCTTGGTATGATCGCTTTCAGACTGCTGTTATTAAGCTTGGGTTTCATTCTTCTGCCCAGGACTCTGCTTTGTTTCTCCTCCACCTCTGTTGGGTTTGTTGTCTTATTACTGTATGTGGATGATATGATTATTACTGGCTTTGATTTTTCTACTATCTCTGAGGTCAAGCAGTGTCTCTTCCGCACCTTCGAAATGAAGGATTTGGGCCTATTGCGGTACTTTTTTGGTATTGAGGTGGCTTCTTCTCCCAAGGGCTACTTTCTGTCTCAGGCCAAGTATGCTAATGAAGTTATTCACCGTGCTGGTCTTACTGACACTAAGATTGCTGATACCCCATTAAGCTTAATGTGAAACTTAATACTACTAATGGTGTTCCTCTGCCTGATCTTACTTTATATCGGGAGCTCGTGAGTTGCTTAGTCTATCTGACGATTACTCGTCCTGACCTTGCCTATGCTGTTCATGTTGTTAGGCAGTTTATTTCTGCTCCTCGTTGTACACATTGGATTGTTTTGGTTCGGATTCGTTGCTATCTTCGCAATGTTATCTTCCAAGGATTGTTGTTGTCCTCTACTTCTTCCTTGGCTTTGGTCGCCTATGCTGGTGTTGATTGGGTTGGTGATGTTACAGATCGTAAGTCCACTTTTGATTTTTGTATGTTTCTTGGCGATTCCTTCATTTTTTTAGAAAAACAAGAAACAAACTGTTGCTGCTTGTTCTACTGCCGAAACTGAGTACCGTGCTATGGCTCATGCTGCTGCTGCTGAAGTTGTATGGCTTCGTTGTCTTTTCTCTGACTTGGGTCCCTTAGTCTTCTCCGACCTTCTTCTATTGTGATAACCGTAGTGCTATTCAGATTTCCAATAACACTGCCTTCCATGAGCAAACAAAGCATATTGAGATTGATTTTCACTTTGTCCGTCAGCATCGGCAGTCCAGCTCTATGTCACTTCCTTTTGTCTCTTTGGCTCTGCAACTTGTTGACTTTTTTACCAAGACTCACACCACTGCTCAGTTTCAGTTTTTTCTTAGCAAACTCTCAGTGTTCTCTGCTACAACACCTTGAGTTTGAGCGGAGGTGTGAGAATATTAGGTTAGGCAGTGTTTCTTTTTCTAAGAATATTAGATTAGGCAGTGTTTTCTTTTTTGAGAGATTGTATAGGTATATATATATTGCAGTGTTTTAGGTTTATATATATGGCATTGTTTCCTTTAGTCTTGAGGTTAGGTTTACTATATAATCAGATATATTCTTTGTATTATTACACAATTGAACATATAGAAAACTTTCAGAAATCTTACACCGTCCCCCTCCCCAACTCTAGAGGACCGCCATCACCCCCTTTTGTTGAACCCAAGCAATTTCAAAAGTAGAGAAGATAAGCACCCACAAACGATAAGCCACAGGACAATGGATAAGCAAGTGATACACAGACTTTGCATTACGATAGCATATACAGCACCAGTTTACAAGAAAATAACGATGGCGAACCAAATTATCAATAATTAGAATCTGATTAAAGCTGCCCTCCACACAAAAAACGCCACCTTAGATGAACACTTGTAACCCAAACACGATGCCAAGGAAACTCCCCCTCCACACCACTAGACAAAAGCCCGGTAAAATGACAAAATCGAGAAAATACCTTCTTGCACCTGACCCCCCCCACACCAAGACATCCTCCCTCACCCCCCTAAACCCGCACCCAGTACAAAAAACTCAGTAAATCCATCAATTGTCCAACCTCCCAATCTTGAACCTGCTGGCACAATATAATATCCCAAACCACCGCACCTCCAACCCCATCTAGATAAGATGCCACTATAGCCTCCTGATCAATGGCAATACGAAAAATCAATGGAAAACAAGACTGCAAAGAAACCTCACCACACCACACCACACCACACCATCGACATCTATTAATTATTTAAATTTAAGCAAAAAAGTAATAACCATTCAACATCCAATATGCATAAAAAGAACTAAGAAAAGGGGATAAAAAACTAGTTGGGGTGTTCCTTGAAAAAAACGTAATTAAATAAAGGGACACACGAGTCCCCCCTGTGTTCTCCTCTTCGACACCGCTACGACACATATTTTGGAGTATTGGTGCTTCATAGGGTATATGTTTTTAAGCCAATTAGATTCATGTATTTGATTATTTATTTATTGGAATAAATATTATGTTCATGCTTTATTATTTGAAATGTTTTCATCTAAGAAGCAGGGACATAGACACGGATACAACACGGATATGCCGACGCGGCAATTTTTCAAAATTTCAGGACAGGGCACATTGGGGGATATATGGAAAAATAATATTTTTATATATTTATGTCATATATATATTACAATATTCATGAATTTAGAAAATAATTACTAAATCAATACTGTGTTTTATTTTTTTAAATTTTTTTATTGTGATTTATTTATAATAAACTATTTGTTTATTTATTTTCTTGGATTGGCTTGCAATATAGTTTTTCCCACATCATGCTTTGACATAATGGGCTTGATTTTTAAACCTGCTTGATGTAGTCCAAGTAGAAAGCCATGCACAATGAATTGGGTCTGTGGCAATTTAGAATAAAACACCCACAAAGCCCATAACAATGTACAACAGACCAACTAAAAGAAAGCCGACCCCATTAAGTGGAAAAAAAATAAAAAATGAATCTGAACCCAGGATGCCTCTGTTGAAGAAGACGAAGTTGGACCAGGTAACTATGCTTCTTCTTATACTGTTATTTTCTCTTGTGTGACTTCTTCCTTCATCTCTTTTTCTGTGAATCACAGATCTAGAGTTCCTACAGGTAGCATGAACAAAATCAGTGATTTTTTTTTTTTTGGCCATCATTGTGTCCGAGAAGTGTTCGGAGAGTGTCGGAGGTGTGTCCAGCAACTAAAAGAAGTGAACAAAAGTGGGATACAAGAGAGGGCATGTTTGACACGTGTTTGCCGCGTGTTCGAACTTGTCCATGTCCTAGATGTGTTGGACACTTATACGTTAGGCTAGATGGAGTGCATGTGCTTCATAGGTTTTCATAAAATAATGGACGTGATTCATGAGACGAATGTTTTAACCTCATGGTTATATTAAATGTGCTTTATGTAGGTAAAGGAGTTTCATTTACATGAGATCTCCCAAGTTTTGTAACTTGGAAATTTCACAGTTGTTAATAGAATTAGGGTCTCTATTAGGTCAACAACAACATAATTAAGGCCAAGTTTGGCAAGTTGCCAAAAAGCCAAAAAGTCAAAAAGTTACTCAAAAAGTTAAAAAGTTACTCAAAAAGTTAGAAAGTGACTCTCTTTGCTGAGTCCAAACCATAGATACATAGCTACACCCGACACTCATACCCGAGGCCATGTAACGTAGCTAAAGAGTGACTCTCTTTGCTGAAACCTTCGTCGCTTCCCTCAATTTAGTGCATTTCTTTTATCTAATAAAAATCAATAATTTAGAAATTGATTATGCCTAATCTTGTATAAAGAGCATCATCTAGCACCTTTAACTGTCCTTGTTATCTCCGAGTTAGCCCACTTACATCTATTAATAATTTTGTCATTTTTTTGGCCACTTTTTAAAGCATTTATTTATTTCTTCTACTACGACTTGAATCTCATTTTTATTGTTTTTTGAAAAGGAAAAATGGTGTATATGGTATGCGCTCAAAATTTCAGTCACAAGGATTCATAACCAAAAACACCACAAAGCCTCGTAACCTAGGCTCTTCTGTTCATATCCACAAAGCCTCATATCCAAGTTCATAACCAATCACGCCAAGTTTGACCACCACAAAGCCTCACAAGTAATTACATGATTCATAATCAAGACCAAATGGCTTCATAACTGCAAGACCATACAATTACCCTTTTTTTATTACAAATTCAGTTTTCAACTATGTTCTCCTTTATTTGTTTGAACTATTTACCTTGTTTGGTTACAGGTTTCTATTTTTGTACTACTTGGGATTGTCGTTGCAGGAGCTGCCCTAGGGTATTGGATGGTGCGGAAATTTGTTATTGCAGAAGACGGAAGTGTGGATGTTGGTGTAGCTCAATTTGTGAAATGGGCCATGCGCGTCATCGCAGCAACATTTATCTTCCTGGTGGCTATGGCGTTCATGTTAATAAATAGTGTGATAATGCTCCACTTGCATATCTCTGGACCAAATGGACATCAGTGTGCAAACCCTAATCCCACCCTTTCAAACTGCACAAAAGAGGAATCTTTAAATTCAAATTTTTTTGAATTTTTATTCTTATATTTCTGTCAGAGTACTCTTGATACTCCTTTGGCAATGGGGGCATTGGCTTCTTGTTTGTCAATCTGCTTTCTTATCACTTCCTTCAAGTGGAATGGTCCAGAGTAAGTTACTTGCACCATTTTTTCCCTACTCTCCCCTTGCATCATGCTGGCGGACTGGTAATTGTTATACCAAATAAATGTTCATATAATTGATGTTTGACTCCATTTATTCAACTTATTAAATCCAAAACAAATAGATCTTATTAGCTTTTTGGATGTTGAAATCCATTTTGGATTAGTCAAAATGGGTGGTATGCTTGATTTTTTTTTTTTTTTTGGGGTTGAATATAAAAATTTTGGGTGAATAGCTTGACTTAATATATGAATCGTCTTGAATATTGATTGAAGAGAGATCTGCTCAGTTGATAGAACAGATTTAAAAAATCTTTCGTTTGCTTGGTTTAACAAGATCTTAACTAATTATTTGTATGTAGTTCTACCATTAGTTTTGGGAATTCAATTTATTCTGCAAATGGGAATCCTTGGCGGGGTAGAGGACGAACAAATGTAAGACAAAATTGTGCTGAATTTCTCAGCAGGTCAGGGATGGTGGCTTCACGGGGAACACTGTGGAACAGCCCAAGGAGACCTTCTGGTTGGTCTGACTCTCCTGTTAAAGGTACACACTTTTGTTAAACTCTGCATTTTCTCTGCCTAATATTTGTTTTATCTGTTGAAACATTTTTTCTAAAAAGATTTAAGCTTCTGCAGAGCATTGTTATTTCCCTCTTATTTTCCTTTGACATCATGGATCACTTTCATAGTTACTACGTAAAACTCCCTATTAGATCTCTTATGAACATGAACATGCATGGGCTAGGATGTTTTCTGTAAGCAACATGTTTTGAAAAATAGGCAAGGATCACTACATCGGTGCCTTAGTGCAATGAAAAATAGGAAATGGTCCTTATGTTTTCTTGGACGAGCACCTGTAAAGAAATTAGCCCAGGATTGTTGGTTTACATCAGCAAGTTGGAAAAGGGAACACTGACAGATAAAACTATGGAATTAGTAGATTCAATGATTAGAAGGAAAGTATAACATGCTTACAAGAAACTAAAAGAGTAGCTGAGAAAGTAAACAAAATAGAAAAAACTCGGTATAGCATTTTGTATGCTGGAAATATTGGTTAGTAGATAGATTTTTGCGAGTCTTGTGTGCTTGGGTGTCAGGGTGTGTGGATTCTGATTTGTTTACCTTTTTTGATTTCCTTGATGATGTAATTGGCTAGCGCTCCTTTTTATGGGGACTTTTTTGAATCTTTAGCATCTTCTTGATGCTCTTCTTCAATAAAATTTATTTTTTTAAAAAAAAAAGAAAAAAAAGATGTAGAAATGGTGTGGCTAAGCATTTGAAAAATAAGGTAGTAATAGTTATGAGAATACGCTACATAATAATATTATTTAAAATTGTAACTGGAGAGTATAATTAGCGCCTATGCACCCCAAATAGGATTGGAGAAACATATTAAAAGGAAATTTTGGGATCAACTGGATGAGTTAATACAATAAATATTTGTAGAGGAGAGAATAATTATAGGTGGAGATTTCAATGGTCATGTCTGAAAATATAAGCAAGTGCATGAGAGGATACATGGTGGATATGGTTTTGGTGATCGAAATGAGGGCGGAGAGAACATCTTAGATTTTGCAGTAGCATTTGATCATGTAGTAACCAACAACTTTTTAAAAAAGGAGGGTTAAACACATAAAGTTTTAAAAATGGGTCAAATAAGAGTTGGATAGTTCATTTTCTTGTAAGAAAAATAGACTGCTGAATATGTAAAGGTTTCAAGGTTATTTCCAAAGGAAGTTAATGGCACAAAGTAGGCTAGCAATATTCAATATATAGTATTATATACAATAATAAAGAGCAAAATCAAAGTGCGAAATATATTAAAAACTCAGGAACTAGAAATTGAGGATAAAGTGTTTAAAGAAGTAACGCGGGGTTTGAAAGGTGTTACTAATAACATGTGGAATACAATAGCATAATGCATTGAAAGAATATCGAAAACAGTGCCATGGAGAGCCAAAGGGAAAAGCTCCTAAATCTAAATAAACTTGGTGGTTGAATAGTGAGATATAAGCCATAGTAAGAGAGGATAAAAATGGGAATAATTTTAAGACATAAGTTGACCAATAAGGAGGTTGGATGAGGAGATTCAGAAAAGTGAATGATATTTTGAGAAATTGTTAAGTGAAAATCATTTTAAAACTTGGAAGGAGAGGAATATGATAGCCTTGATGGAACTAGAGAATATAAGTTTTATCATTGAACTAAGAAAGTTTGAGGTGGAATTTGCATTAAAAAAAGAAGAAATAAGATTTATCAAAAAATAAAAATAAATAAATAAATAAATAAGGCAAGGCATTAGGACTAGATTTTATCCCTATTGAGGCTTGGAAATGCTTAGGTAAGTAGTTGTCTGGTTAAGAAAATTCTTTTATAAGATTCTAATTACTAGGAAAATGGCTGACGAGTAGAGAGAGTATTTTAATACCTATATATAAATAAATGTGATATCCAAAATTGCAACAATTATAGAGACATTAAGTTGATAAGTCAATACAATAAAATTGCTGGTGAGAATGATTGAGCATCGCTTTACAATAGTGTTAGAGAATCTGTTTGGATTTATGTTTGGTAGATCAAATATGGAAACACTATTTTTACTAAGAAGATTAATAGAGAAGTACAAAGAGAAGATGAAGGATCTAAATATGGTTTTTAAAAATTTTAAAAAAAAAAAAACAAAAAAAAAAACTTGCGATAAGGTGCCTAGAGATATAATCTAGGAAGCACGAATATGGATACGAGATACAGATATGGCGATATGACAAAACCTAAAAAGTAAGATACGGGTACGGCTAGAATACATTTGTAAAAAATATATTTTAAAAAAACTTAGTAGTAGGAGTTATACATAAGCTCAAGAATGTTGAGAGATCACATTGTAATTTTATAATGCAAAACACTAATCTTTAAAAATTAGGTATTAATTTTAGACAATAGCTTGTTTACTTTTTAAATTTTCAATAGGTCTTGCAAATATTTTATTTTAATGTCAAGTTTAATATATTTATATTACAATAATAGAGCAATCGACAACTTGTTTCTGTGCTTTCTCCTTTGGCACTAGTAAAAATATTGTATTCAAGTTTACTCATTTATTTCTTTGTTAATTTATTAATTTTACTATTGTTATATTCTCTTGTTAATCTTTACTATCTATTTAGTTATAGAGTATATGCATGAAACAATTAGGATACATCAATTTGACAAATTTTATTACTTTAAGTCTCACTATGTTCTTTTCAAATAACTAAATAAAGTATTCGGAGTAATATGTGACTTGAAGTATCCGATACTTCAAATTTAAGTATCCAATGCTCCAAAATTAATGAAAAAATAATTAAGTATCCAATACTTTTAATAAGTATCCGATATGTATCCGCGAGTATCCAAAGAGTATCGGTATCCAATACGTATACAATGTGGACATGTCTCCCTTTTTGAAGTGTCCATGCTTCATAGGATATAGTATGGTGAGTGTTGGTGAAAAGGGTGTGACCAAAAGGTATATGCATGCAATAATACACATTTATAATTGGTTATCGACCATAATTAGATCACTTGTAGGAGAAACTAGTAAATTCTCAATCACTATTGTATTGCATCATGGGCCAACTTTGAGTCCTTACCTATTTGCCATGGTCATGGATGAATTAACTAAACGCATTTAGGATGATAGTTCACAGATGATATGGTTCTAGATGAAGGAAGAAATTGACACTGAACTACAAATATGGAGAGAAGCACTCAAGTTAAAAGGGTTTAAAATTAGTAAAAATAAAACTAAATATACAGAGTGTGACTTAGCAACAATAGAAATAGAAATGATAGAGAAGTGAAGATTGAAAATCAGAAATAACAAAGTGAACTTTTCGTTACGTAGGTTTGATTATTAATAAGGATAGTGAGGTTGAAAATGACGTGATTCATAGAATTAAAGTAGGTTGGCTCAAGTGTGGGAGTGCATTTGACATATTATGTGATTGACGAATTCTAACAAAATTGAAAGAAGAATTTTGTAGAACTATAAGGCTAATGATGCTTTATGGGACAAAATATTGGGCAACTAAAATACATGCCAATAAAATGAGTGTAGTTGAGTTGAAGATGCTTAAGATGGATGTGTGGTAAGACTAAGAAAGATAGAATTAGAAATAAATATATTCTTGAAATGGTAAGCATGGGTATGGGTATGAGTACTGGTACTAGTACGATACGGGTACGTCGATACGGTAAAATCCAAAAAGTAGGGTACGGGTACGATTTGGTGTGCTTGTAAAAAAATATTTATTTTTAATTTAGAGTAATGCAAAATTTAATTAAATGGTTTAATTTGTTAAGATCCAACCTATAATTAACATTTAATTCCAAAAGTAAAGGTATAAATCAAAATTAAATGTTAATGTATTAATTAACTTACAAACCATAGTTTAATTTTAAAATCATGTTAAGCATAAAACTAAAATAAAAAAGAAATCTAATGAAAGGAGTTTTATCTCCGTAGTAGAAGAAAATATTGTTTCAACTGAGGTACGGTACAACTTGGGTATATATTCGGTACGTCTGGGTACACCAAAAATTAAGAAGAAAAAATTTGGGTATGTGTTTCGTGTACCCGGTACGTATGCAAAAGTACCATACGAGGTATCATACGTTGGTAAGTACCCAGTACGGGTACGACATGTTTTTTGAAGTACCCATGCTTGATAGGGGTAACACGGATTAAAAGATAAGTTGAGAGAGAATATGTTAAGATGGTTTGGTCATTTACAATGAAGAAATGTAGATGCAATGGCAAAGAAGAGTGATATGATTTCTATAAATAAAATGTTGGGGGAAGGGGAGGACTTAAACTAACATGGGATATAGTCGTAAAAAAAGATATGAACGTATTTAATTTATTTGAACTTGTAGCCATCCATAGAGCAAAATGGCAAAAAATGATTGACGTAGATTGGGAAACAATGCTTAGATTGGATTGGTTTGGAAGCGGGAAACGGAAACTGAAACTTCATCCAAAAATATTATGGAAAATGTGAAACATTAGGTGATGTAAAGATTGAGTAGGTTGAATAAAAAAAAGAGTAAAGTTTGAATAGGATATTTGTAAGAAAAATTTATTAAGAAACTTAAAAATAGCAATGTAAATTATTTTTATATTTTCATGATCAATTAAAATACTACTACTACTACCCAATATCTATGGATACTTTATTAGAGAAATCATATATTATTGTTGAAAAATAGTATTTGCGAGTATATGAAGATGTAAAAATTATGAGAAGTGCATTTCTAGGGAGTTTTTAAAACATTTGTTTGAAAGAGGTTCTTGTAAGGTTATTCAAATTGAGTTGGAGTTTTTCCTTTCATATGTAAATTGTATTTGAATTCTTGGATTGTTTTGGAGATGTTTTTTAGAGGTTTTCCTTAAAATTTCATGAGAGTTCTGTGTCTGTTCCTGAAATGAGTTTACAGGGAAACAAGTTTCCTCTCAAGAGATTTCCCTCTTTATTTTCTTTCTTTCCTCTTGTATGTGGTTATTGCTGTCACTAGAAATATGTGTACAAAGAAAGTAAGAAGTTGTGGAGGTTTTTAGGATGAGAGAAAGAAAAAGATTGTGGTAGCTGTGTTTATTGTTTATTACAGAATGTATGGTGGTGGCAGTAGTGTCTGGTTGAGTGAGAGAGTGGTGAAAGAGAGTGTTTAGTTGGGGTTTCTGAGACTCTGGTTAAATTGGTATGGTAACAGAGAGCCTAAAATGATAAGATATTAGTGATACTGATATTGAAATGGTCTGGTGGTGAGGCCAACCCGTCCCAACATCATTTAGGTTCAAAGCCAGTAACGTGATGTTGACTTGCTTATGAAACTTTGTTTGAGATTCTGTAGTCAGATTTGCTTGTGATAATTTTATGTATTCGAGTAAATTGTATAGGGGTCATAAGGTTATCTATGCCTAAAATGATGAGGTATAAGTAGTGGTGATAATGAAGTGGTTTGGTGGTGAGCCCACACCGTTCCTAATTTCATTTAGGTTCAAAGTGGGTAGCCTGTTGTTGACTTGCTTATAAACTTTGTTCAACCTGATGCCATTTATTGCTGGTGTGTTTGTTAGGCTAGCAGTTTCAGTTAGTGCTAGCTCTAATTAAGTAATTGTTGTGTTGTTTTTAAGATTATGAGCTTTAATCTTGAAATGTTTATACTTTGTTCTATCTTGACTTTCAATTGAGATTATAAGTGATTTAAAGAATTATGTTGAGGATACATCATCACCTGTCTGGACTGCAACATGATGGTTAAATGTAGGCATGCAATTCCACAGTCCCTTTCAATGTATGTTGCATGAATAACCACAAAATTATGTTTCTCTATCCTAATGAAGTCTGTATGATGGTTTTTATGGAGCATGGAGCATTAAATGAGATGTATGATGTGAAATTTTTGGCAAAATTGGATGTAGACACACTAGGACATGACAATATCTAACAAGAAATATTTTGATGGGGGAGAAGCCTACGTTTTTAATATATTTATCCAAATTTGTGCGTTAGTAGTTGCACAAATTGGGAATCAAAGATTAATGAACAGTAAGTGTTGCTTTAAAACTGTTCCTACTTTCTTTATATCTTTATCTTTACGACAGTATTCTTTTTTGTATATTAGAAGTGGGGTTCATGCTTGACTTGGCAAGGTAAATGTTCAGTTTCTTTTGAAATATTTCATGTTCTTGACATTTATTGGCTTATGTTGCCTGATATGGTGTCAGTTTCAGAGCTCCTATGATCAACTGTTCATTCTTCATGGTTTGGTTTTGACCATGATATTGTAATCATAATAAAAATGAAATGAACAAAGTAGGTTTTTGGTTGGGAGGATTAATCTTGTTGAGGATGTTTCATGCACACACTGTTTCCAAAAATGTCTATAAAGTACAATGGTACTCATGTAAATTATACTATATATTGCATTGGTATTGAGTATTGACCTTTAATTCATGCTTCATTAGTTTGTTTTTGGCTGTTGCAGTATGATATCTCCGACAACTGGGAGGGTGACGAAAAATCAGCAAGATTACTTTCAACATTCCATAGGACACCCAATAGAAAGAAGTTTTCAAAAAAAGAGTGGGAAAATTTCACCCAGGAATCAACCCGACATGCTGTGGCTGAGTTGGCATCCTTTCCAAAGTTCACTGATTAGATTATTAAGCATGCTGACAGGATACAACTCCTTCCAGATGATAGTTCAGATAACACAATTGGAAGTGGCTCAGATTCCACAGATGAGAATCTTGTAGAAAGTGGCGATCGATTTAGTTTGTGCAAATGGTAGCAGCAACCTTAGTAGGAAATTAGTTACTTGTAGCAGTACCATGAGGTTTAGGCTAGGAATGGTGCTCATTTAATTTTTCTTCTTTGTTTTAGGTTTACTTTTAATACATCATATTATGTCATTAAGCAATTGTGGCAAATCTTTTGAAATCTTCTAATCATGTTATAGTGCCTGCTCTTTCTATGCCTCTTCCTACCAAAAACTTTTGATGGTTGCATAAAGAGAGCATTGTCAAGTGTTTTAACTCTCTCATTCCGCTTTAACCCACTTATGTAATCACCCATAAAGAGGGCAACACACTTGTGCAGTTTCAACCTCCCTTTGCATTTGTTTATCTGTTTTGGTTCAAGTTGGTGCAAATGTCATGTTTGTTTCTATCACAAATCTATAATGCTATAGCTAGCAGGCCTAGAAAGGTATCTCATCTATGAAGCTAGTTTTGGAAAATTTTAAGCATGGTTTCCATTCTCTCTGTGAATAATTTTAAGGAATAATTACATTTTGGGAGATTTATGTGCATGTCTTAATAGGTAGATTTATTGCCCAATATAGGTCATGTGATAATTAACGGCATTTTTATATAAAAAAAAAAGCGTCACTAATTGTTAGTTTTTAGTAACAATTTGAAAAATTTATCACAAAAAGTCGCTAATTATCAATTTTTAATGATAGATTTAGAAAATCGTCACATAAAATGTCATTAACTGTCAGTTTTTAGCTATAGGTTTAAAGAATTGTCACAAAAAAGTCACTAATCATGAGTTTTTAGCGACAATGTTGATAGGATCAACTTTCAATGACAAATTGATAGGACTTAATGAGAATTACGTTTAATTACTAGGACCCGTTGGTAATTTACCTTTATATTTTAGTGGGATTTGGGAAAACAAAGTACATTTTAGTGGGGAATTTATCTCGGTTGCAATAGGGGTGGGAAGAAAGAAAATAAAATAAAATGATGGAATGTATCCCTTGAATTGACCAACCTATCCTTTATTTCTGTTCTTTCCTCTCTATGCTCTCCCATTTTAACTTTGCTTGGCACTTCCTGCTAGCCGCCGCTGCCATGCCCTCCTTTGTTACCCCCAAGCCTTCTCCTACCCATCCTTGCTACCCTAGTCCTCTTTATCATTTCCCATCATCCCTACCACTGTCACACCTCATTGCCCCATTGTTGCTTCTGTTAGTCTTAACTCCTTCCCTTTTCACCCAAGCCCTCACCATCACAACTATCCTTTCCTATAAACCCTAACCGTTGCAGCTACTTGAACCTCTTAGCCTTTCCCCATGGCGACCTCAATAAGGGGAACATGTTTAGTAAGTGTTACTTATGCTAAGATGTACAGGGTAAAGTTGTGTGCGGTTGTCACTCTTGTCACTTGCAGCACACATAATTAAAACTTGCCCTCAGATGTTTTGCAGTAGTAGATGTAATAGTAAGGAAGGATAATATAATTGTATAAAGTGAAAATTGAATGCTTAAAAAGGATTTATACAATTGGTCAAATTTATACCAAAGTTTTGTTTGGTTTGATTTTATTTGTTCATATGAGCAATTGGTGCAAATCCTAGATTTTCCATAGATCTTTGACTTTTACAACTTAAAAACTAGCGTATAAACATGTAATTATGGATCAATATTTGCTAGGCACCTAGAAGGTGCACATGATGCACATTGATTTCAATTGTGGCATGATGTGCCTAAGGTTACAATGTAATGTGCTTAAAATTATAACTTAAAACATATTGAATCACACTACGAGTTATGACTCACCGAGTAACTCATTGGGTCAGTGTCGTTATGACATAATGAGATCATATCATATTTTGAGAACATTGTGTTGTAATTTTGTGCACATCTCATCATTATAATTAGAGAGGGTACAAATCGTGTACAATTTTTTGGGTTGCACACATTATAGATTTTTCGTAAAATGACAAGTTCTTTATATAAACTAGTGGTGGGTGTCATGTTGTGTTAGGTTGTATTTATGTTGTTTCATTTTGGGTTTGTATCCGAATTATTTCGACCCTAGCTTAATTTGTTTATTATTTCGTATTTTTGAGTCATGTCATTTTTGGTATTTGTCTAGTTCATGTTATATTAATGTGTCCTATCAAAGTTTTTTACCTTAATTAGTTAAAAAGACTCAGTGTAGAGACCAATTATTGGATTAAATTATTCATAAAAATATTTGCTTTCAATTCTATTTTTTTTTTGGTGCTTAATTTACAAAATTACATTCTATTATTATATATTTTTATTAGATTAAAATAGTAGGAAAAAAAATTATCTTCAATTAAGAAAAAAAATATTAGCCTTAAAATTTCTATTTCACATACTCTTTAATCAATTAGATGGAGTTACATAAGTAATTCAAAAATGTTATGGTACCTTTTAGTAGAAATGATATTAAAATTTGTAAATAATTATTTATTAAACAAGTTATCTGTATTAATTTTGTGCTATACAAGTTTAATACTAACTTAACCTGTTTAATACTCTTAGGTACCTATTGGGATGCCTGAGTCACTCTCCCATTTCAACTTTGGTTGGCACTTCCTGCTAGCCACCACTGCCATGTCCTCCCTTGTTACCTCCAAGCCTTCTCCTACCCATCCTCGCTACCCTAGTCCTTTCCATCATTTCCCATCATCCCTACCACTGTTACACCTCATTGCCCCATTGTTGCTTCTGTCAGTCTTAACTCCTTCCCTTTTCACCCAAGGCCTCACCATCACAACTATCCTTTCCCATAAACCCTAACCATTGCAGCTACTTGAACCTCTTAGCCTTTCCCCATGGCGACTTCACACCTCTACCCCTTATTGTTGGGGAACATGTAAGTGTTACTTATGCTAAGATGTACAAGGTAAATTTGTGTGCGGTTGTCACTCTTGTCACTTGCAGCACACATAATTAAAACTTGCCCTCAGATGTTTTGCAGTAGTAGATGTAATAGTAAGGAAGGATAATATAATTGTATAAAGTGAAAATTGAATGCTTAAAAAGGATTTATACAATTGGTCAAATTTATACCAAAGTTTTGTTTGGTTTGATTTTATTTGTTCATATGAGCAATTGGTGCAAATCCTAGATTTTCCATAGATCTTTGACTTTTACAACTTAAAAACTAGCGTATAAACATGTAATTATGGATCAATATTTGCTAGGCACCTAGAAGGTGCACATGATGCACATTGATTTCAATTGTGGCATGATGTGCCTAAGGTTACAATGTAATGTGCTTAAAATTATAACTTAAAACATATTGAATCACACTACGAGTTATGACTCACCGAGTAACTCATTGGGTCAGTGTCGTTATGACATAATGAGATCATATCATATTTTGAGAACATTGTGTTGTAATTTTGTGCACATCTCATCATTATAATTAGAGAGGGTACAAATCGTGTACAATTTTTTGGGTTGCACACATTATAGATTTTTCGTAAAATGACAAGTTCTTTATATAAACTAGTGGTGGGTGTCATGTTGTGTTAGGTTGTATTTATGTTGTTTCATTTTGGGTTTGTATCCGAATTATTTCGACCCTAGCTTAATTTGTTTATTATTTCGTATTTTTGAGTCATGTCATTTTTGGTATTTGTCTAGTTCATGTTATATTAATGTGTCCTATCAAAGTTTTTTTTACCTTAATTAGTTAAAAAGACTTAGTGTAGAGACCAATTATTGGATTAAATTATTCATAAAAATATTTGCTTTCAATTCTATTTTTTTTTTGTGCTTAATTTACAAAATTACATTCTATTATTATATATTTTTATTAGATTAAAATAGTAGGAAAAAAATTATCTTCAATTAAGAAAAAAAATATTAGCCTTAAAATTTCTATTTCACATACTCTTTAATCAATTAGATGGAGTTACATAAGTAATTCAAAAATGTTATGTTACCTTTTAGTAGAAATAATATTAAAATTTGTAAATAATTATTTATTAAATAAGTTATCTATATTAATTTTGTGTTATACAAGTTTAATACTAACTTAACCTGTTTAATACTCTTAGGTACCTATTATGGGATGCCTGAGTCAAATTTGTGGTCTATAGACTATATGAAATAGACACAACTAACATGTCTACTACTATTGTGTTCCACAGGAGTTTTCTTATAGATGTTAAATATGTCTGTTAAGTGCTTATTAATTTAGAGAGTAAATTGGTGCTCTTATGGATGTGTTAAAATGTGTGAGGGTATAGTCCAATTGAATGAGTAAAAAATATAGAGGACCAGTTGATAAAATTTCAAAAAATTCAACTAGAAGGACAAAGAAAGAAGGTAAATTACACCATTAATCCTTATAGTTTAAGTGAATTAATTTTCACTTTAATTCCCGTAGTCCTAATTTGAACATTTGAATCCCATACTTCCATTTTTTGTTGCAATATTGTCCGCTTGTCATGCGCCTTTTATTTTTTGAATGGAAAAACAACTCGTGTACAACTAAAGAGAGTAAAGTGGAATTCAAAAGAAACAACTGAGACCATTAGTATAGTTTATTCAATTTCTTTTCTTGTGTTGAAATTGCTAAAAATCTCATGTGTGTTGCATGGGGTAGTTTTGCATATAAAATTTCAACGGTATGTGACAGAAGGATTAGATTGTAACAAAATTAAAAATATAAAATTCAAATTGAAATTATGAGGACCAAATCAAAACTTGCTCACACTAGATAAACCAATGATATAATTTACCTTAAAAAAAGTTAATCGGTGACTTGGCTAGCTAAAGGGCTATCACAATTAACGAAACTACACAGTGGCTGATAATGTTAAAGAGGAAGATAACATGTCCACTAGGACAAAAAAAATGGAAAAGATTAGGTAACTATTAACTTATGACACTAACTACCTTCTTAACACTTTCTAAGTTCCAAAATGTGAACATTTAGGAAAGGAAAAAGAAAAAACACAAGAAAAATGAAAATGAATACAACTTAGATATGCATATAATAATTCAAATTGAAAACATAGTTGATGAGTAATTACAGATGACACTAAGGAGCATAAAAGGTTATTAGTGAAGAGAGATGCAAAACAAAAACAACAAATCAATCATTGATCAACAAAAGAAATCATCAAGAAGTGTGCTACTTCAAAGATAACAATAAGGGCATAATCTTATCATTTTGATAATATATTTTCTCCTTACTCCAAAGGTGTTCCACGACAATTTAATGGTTGAGCAATACAAGACTTAAGTTGTTTTGTACGAAGTTTGAGTGGCCTTGTGATAAAAAAATGTTAAAGTTGCAATTTTTCTTGTTTGCAGTAGAAACTAACTTCCATTTATATTCTTATACATTATACACACACACACATATATATATATATATAACAATATATTATATTAGTGAGTCAGAGTATATAGGATAAGATTGTTGCATCTCTATGAGACAGAAGAATTACACATGTTTCTTCCACATGTTGTTGTTCATTGGAGATTACAAACCAATCCTTGCATTGGCAAAAGAAGACACAGTGACAGAATTGCGGTATAGCTTTACCTTGCATTGTAGCCTTCAAATACTTCTCCAATTTATTAGCATACACAATATATATACTACAAACAATTTATAATTGACTTTGTATGAGCTATCTTTTTCCAAATCTTCTTTGATCTCTTTCCATGTTGACGCATTTTTACACCAAAAATCCTTACAAGCCATTCTTCTTTCCTTTGAATAATGTAACTTCCAATCAACAAACCAAGCAATACTCCACACCCATATCCCATCAACACAGCTTCCCAACCAAAGCCATCAAATTTGAACTTAAAATTGTGGCTAAATGAGGATGGTAAAGTTGGTGATTCTGCTATTTGGACATTCCCACAATTCTTTGACAATGGAAACCCGCACAAGCCTAGATTTCCCTCATATGAAGTGTTTGAAAATGTTTCAAACTGCTGGCCTCGTGGTATAATCCCAGTTAGATTATTTTGCGAGACATCAAAAACTTCAAGGAATGTCAAGCTTGTTAGTTGTTGAGGTATCTCACCAGAGAGCTTGTTTTGGGATAGATCCAAGGACTCAAGCTCAGTTAGATTGACCAAGGACAATGGAATCGGACCTGTGAAGCCATTTCTTGAAAAATTTAGGACACGGAGGGCTTTGAGTCTTCCAATAGATATGGGAATCTTTCCATCAAACTTGTTGTGCGAGAAATCAATAGCTTTGAAGATGGTGATGATCCTTACGAGTGTCATTTCCAGTCCTTTATTCATTATGGTTACCGAATAATAACCAGAACCAATGCCCATATACTTTAAGGAGGATTTGTCTTCATCATCCATCATCATTGAATGCATGCTCTCAAAGTATTCTGATGGCAAAGTGCCTGTAAATTCATTGTGAGACATGTCAATGATATGTAAATTGGTGAAGGCTAATCTCTTCCTTGGTTGCTCTATGGTACCATGGAATTTATTATCTCGCAAGACAATAATCTTCAATTGGGGCAGGTTCTCCAACCAAAATGGAAAAGCATCTTCTATGAAATTATGACCCAGATTCAAAATTTCTAGGTTCGTGCAATTCGCCAATGATCTTGGAAGCATCCCTTGCAATCCATTGTGGCTAATGTCAAGTAACTGTAACATGCTTGCAAATCCAAATGTTTGAGGGATGCTACCATGGAAATTGTTTTTTTGCAAATTTAACAAGATTAAATTTCCATTGAAGTTCCCCAAACAGGTAGGAATTAATCCAGCCAATTGGTTATTGGACAGATCGAGATAACTAAGAGAATAAAGATTGCAGAGTGGATTGAGTTCTTCATTTAGGTAGTTGTTTGAAAGGTCAAGCGTCTCCAAATGTTCCATTTGGGTTTTTAGAAATTCAGGAATTTTACTTATGTTGCAAGACGACAATTGTAATGTCCAAATTTTTCGGAAAGAGAAGGGAGTGGAGTTGGTGGTGGTCAATGATAGACCACTCTTTGAAAGATCCAAAGAAATCAAATCTTCAAGCTTTGCAAATGTGTCCAGCTCAACAGTGTCACTTAAATTATTTGACGAAAGATCAAGCTCGGTAAGGCTAACAAGATGAAACAAGGAAGGAGGTATCCCATTGATTGAGTTACTGCCTAAATATAGAGACTGTAGACTTGTAAGGCCAGTTATTGATGATGGAATGGGACCTGTTAGTTGATTGTTTGAGAAATCTATATATTGAATTAGCGAGAAGTTGGAAAAAAGTTGAGGAATTGGGCCTTCAAAATTGTTGTATGAAAGATCAAGCCAAATTAATAGCATGAGGTTTGTAAGCGATCTCGGAATCGTACCATAGAAATTGCAGTGAGAGAGGTATAGCTGCTCCAAGTTTTTAAGATGGCCGATTGAAGATGGGAATTGACCATTGTTCCAGTTATTCCCTCCAAGATAAAGCCAATATAATCGCGTGAGGTTTGTAAACGATCTTGGAATCGTACCAGAGACATTGCAGTAACCAAGGTCTAGCACCTCCAAGTACTCAAGTTGGCCGATGGAATTAGGTAGCTCTCCGGTGAAATCTATAAAAGAGAGATCCAACGACCTAAGGTGCCTAAGGTGCCAGAGAGTTCCATTAATAAAACTTGGAAGTTTACCTGTGAGTTCTCTGTTACCGCCTAACCGTAGCTCCTGCAATTTCTGTAAGTGGAAAATGCTATTGGAGAAGTTATTCCCTTGCCAGACTTCTTCTTCTGATGATTGTATTGGGCCAGAAAGATGGGAGGAAATGAGGTCAAGATGGGTCAAATTTGTGAAACGGCCAAATGAAGGTAAAATTTGAGAGTGATTGAAGTTGTTGTGAGAAAGATCGAGGTGTTGAAGGTGAACAAGATTGAAGAGGCTGCTGTTTGGATGGATGGTACCATATAGGCAGTTACAACGGAGGTCGAGGCCAATGACATGAGAAGTGGTGTTATCACATGTGACCCCATCCCATGCACAACAATCTGTACCCTCTTTCCAATTATCAGGGAGTGGAGCAGAATAAACAGAGCAATCGCAAGCAGCGCAATTGAAGGAAAAGAGTTGCTTAAATTGGAGCAAAGCGGTGCTCTCGTCATTATGGCAAAGATGTGCAGAAGAAGAAGAGAAGCAGAAAATTAGGGAATACAGGAGGATACATATTGTGAGTTGATAATTGGATAGTAAGAAACCCATTCTTACACCAGTATTGGGTGGTAGAGAGGGAATTGGATAATATAATGCTAACATTTGAGGTGATATATAAGTTTTAGTAAATAAATGTAATCATCATTATATTATGAATAAAATTGTATTTGAATCATGAATTGGTAAAGGAATTTGAAAAAAGAAAGACAAATATAAGAGAAATACAAATAAAATATAAGCTAAATTTTTTATCCTCGTTCTCACATTTTTGTTTTCTTTTTCAAATTAATATTTAAATTCATAACCAAACATGATTTAAAAATATATATTTTTTATTTTCTTTGTTTTTTATAAATGATTTGGCCATTTTCCAAACAGTACCTAAATAAAGGACTCACAATACTGTTCTAATTTGGTGCTTTATGTCAATAGCAAGCTTGACTAAATAAAAAAATTCGCGTTGATTCTTCGGCACAATGGGCTTCGGATCTCCTGTACCCATCTTCTGTCTCGTTCATCTTAGGCTACCATGTCATCAATCTTGAAATCATAAATGGGACAAAAAATGTGTACAAAAAATGGGTATAGGTGATCCGAAGCTAGTACTATGGACTTGGAATTATTAGATTGTCCTAATTATATTAATATACACACACAACTAACATCAAAGAGTAAAATATATAACTAAGGCCCTGTTTGATTAACATGTATAATGTCATGTTTGTTTTTAACGATGAAAGGCTGGATTAGATTAGTAGTAAGAAAAGGTTTATAAAATTATTTTTATTTTGAGAAATTGTGAAATGAAGAAATAATCTAATGTATATAAAATAATTAATAATTTAATTTACTAATGAGGGTTTTAGATATTTTAAGTGCTAGTAAATCATTCTTACTCATCATGAGTGATTCCTCATTTTCCATTTAATTTTCATAGGGTTTTTTGATTTTCTAAAATTAATAGATTTAATATTATTACCCATAATAACACATTCACAAAATGATATTCTGGATCAGATTTCTTAACGGATCGAGCCTTCTTCAAACAAAAAATAACAAACTATATAAGCTTTAACTATATTATTAAAAACAAAAAATGATTCAAAACCATAATTTTTATAAATAAAACTAATAAATAATATAATATGATATTTTTGCAATTGTAAATTACCATTAGGTGTTTTTTGCTTGAAACAAAGGACTGAAAAATGACATATTATTTCGTATGAAATTTTTCAATAAAAATTATATATATATAACATTATATTTTGTGAAAATCTTTAAAATTTTGTACATCTTTATTGAAGAAAGAGATGGAAAAATGTGTACTGGGAGAATTGAAGAAGAAAGTTTCTTGCAAGATGTTCATTGGTGCAAATCCTCTCCTCTCAACCAATATAATAAATAAAGTAACCAGGTTGGATTCTCTCAAGTTGGCGAGAGTAGTTGCGCTTAATGAGATCGTTTTGGGGTTAATCTCGATAATTTAAGTTGTTAATTTTTTAAAATTTATTGAGTAAATATTCATATAAAAAATCAAAATAATTAGACATTAGTTAGTTAATAGTTATATATTTGAATTACATTTATCTTAAAAAAATAGACGACAAATATAATTTCAAGAATAATCATCAATTTTTTTGTAATGTAAATATTATTCAAACATATAGCTATTGATGTGCAATTACTGTAATGAATTTTGCATTCAACGAATCTTCAAAAGTGAGCGGCTTGAATATATTATCAAGATCAATCTCAAAGGGGACACACCAAACCCAAATTATTCTATTAAGTTAGATGACTAACTTGAGAAAATTCAAATCGAAAATTAATAATTGTAAAGCAACCAAAAGAAAAATTGAAAGCTTTTGTCACTGTATTAGTCCTGTAATTTTCAACTACCGCTTAGTTCTTTGAAATTTCATCTCATATTTAGTGGATGATTTAGTCCTCGAATATTGTTTGTATTGATCTAGAATTCATTTCACAAATTAGTGGAATTTAATTGGAAGCTTCACAAATATATTTTTTTTTTGGGTCATAAAACGTTGAGTAATATTACTAACTTGATTTTATTAATAAAACTTAGGAGTCTAACTTGATATTATCTATAAGCTTTAATTTAATCTTTAATAATCTTGATTGGATAACCATAAAATTATGTTTTCTATAAGTTTGATTTTTCAGTAAAATTAATTTAATAGTCTACTATAAGGCTTAAGTAAGTCTTTAGTAATCCTCACATCATAACGATAAAATTAAATAGAACCCGTATTACACTTTTATTAAACTGGACTACAAGCATTGAATGGTTACAAATTGATGAGGTTTGGTAAATGTTTTATTGTTGTTGTTGTTGTTTTTTTTTTTTGGGTATTTTTTTGACTTTTAGGTGAATTTTTTTTTTTCTGCTGAAGATGCTTTTGGTAAATTTCTTTTTTACTTATTTGGTGCAGCCTATCTGAGCTGCTTATAGTTTTTTTTTTTATTCTAGAAGACTATATGTGCCAGACTATTTAGTACATCTTCTGCTTATGTTTGGTACGACTTTTTCTTATAATTTATTAGAAAGAAATAATTTAAATAAGTTGAAAAAAAAATTTAATTTCTAAAAGTTGGATGACGATTGATTTTGACTTCTATTTTCAAATTACTAGTTTTTAATTTATAATAAATTGTACTAAACAACACTATTATTATTATTATTATTATTATTATCAAATTAATTTCTTAGATTTTGATTTTTTAACATAAAGAAGAAGAAAGAAACCAACAAATTTATTTTTAATATTTTTTTTGATTGGGCCAAATAAGAATCTTTACTGACCGTAATTACAAGTCTTTGTTTGCGGAAAAATTTGGATTGTTGAAAAGTTTAGAGGGATTCTTGTAAACGAAATTCAATTATGTGGAAAAAGAAATGCGTGACTGAGTCATAAAAAAATTGAAATTTAATTAAAAGTATCAACAATTAAAATTTTTGTGACATGAGTCTTTCAATATTTAAAAACCGACCCCACGTGCCTTTGATTTGTCACCAACTTTAATAAAAGTCTTCACAAATTTTGACTAAAAGTTTTAAGCAAGTCTTCTTTCATCTTAACTTGACATCTTCAATGATAATAAAGTTATGCATCTAAAATTTTTATATAGATTTTTTTAATGTGTAATTTAAATTTAATTTTTATATTGTAGGGGAATGAATTGAAATAAAAATTATGTTTTTTAGTTTTTTTTTTTTTTATGACATTCAGCCTTATTAAATTGCTATATATCTGTAACGCCCCAAAATATTCCAACATTCATGAAAGAACAATAGCAACTCTCCAACCTTTACATCATTAATCGACAAGATTTGTACAAAATAGTCTCACATGCGAATTATACATTCAATGATATCAAATACATGAATGTATAGCATGTAGAACATCAAGTCCCAAAAATAATTAAAATGCCCTTAAAGGCTTACATATTCCAAGGCTGAAACCTGGTTACACAAAATATGGTTTCTCGAACCCATACATTTATAGCTCTTGGTTAGCAAAATAAACCACAACAAAATAAGAGTTGTTTACTCTCCACAAAATATGTCCATGCCCTTAACTCGACGAGATCACCACATTTTTTCCTGCACGAAAATCCCATAGGGGTGAGCTTAAAGCCCAGTAAAGAATTCTTAACAAAGTATATACATTTTATACAAGTCCAAAGAAATGAAATGCGTATGTTATGCTATGCTCTTTTGAAAAAAAATCACATTCTTCTCATCTTTTGAAAACCATCATGCTCAATAATATTATGATATCTTCAACAAATTTAAAGTTTATCAATTTAATACAAGGGACGGTAAATACGACTCAGGTAATCCCTAGATTGGTGTCTACAAGTAGGCATAACTAGCACTACAAAAAACCCTACTTTACCGGTTGCTAATTGGAAGGGAAGTGGTACCTCCTCCGCGCGTGTTTTCGTTCTTTCACCCTGGACACTTAGGCTAACTTAATCAATTCCATTTACACCTTCTATCCGAACTTACCAACGTATTTACCCCAAAACATTTCAATAAATTTCATTTATCAACATTTCTTTCTCAATGCAAGTTTCAAACCCCAAATTCAATGTTTAAAATTAGCAAGGTATTTAAGGTGTTCATGCAACAATTATCCATGCAATGAAATGATCAATCGAGTAATGAGGTGATTATCTATACGATGCATCGTCCTACCATTCACAAACTTTCTCACAAACTCTCCGTTTGTGATCACAATTTCTACTTTTCTTTCCAATACATTTCCATATATATAACATATGTATTTGTATAGCTATCAAAATGTAGCAACAATCCTACGTCTCATGTATTCTCAACCTTTTGTTATTTCATGATTATGTACATACATACTTAAACAATAGATTCCAAAGAAAACCCACTAATTCACATATACTAAGAAAATTGACATTTTGCATCCAATATCATGAAATTTCCACTTGAACATTTATTTAACACAAATAAATCCATAGTTCCTCAACATCCACCAAAACCCCCAAATTTCTAGGTTTTTCACCCAAACGATGCGTTTCTTTATTTCTTGGTATAATCACACCAAAAACATTATTCTCAAATCAATGTGATTCAACTTCTTAAGAACATCTTCTAAAGAGAGCAAGAGATAAACCCTTTTTTCAAAACCACTAATTTCTTGAGCCAAAAACAAATTTTTTAAATCAAACATGGAGGAAAATCTTGAAATTGACCAAAACTTGCAAAAATGTATATATAACTCCAAGAAAAATCCCTACCTCAAGTTTGAAGGAAATTGAGAAGAAAGCCCCAAGATCAACAGTGATGAAACCTGATCTTCACTGTACACAATGAAGCTCTAGCTTAGCTCTCCAACTTTAATCAAGGAACTAACGTCAAAATGTTTATGGATTTGGAGAAATCAAAGATTGAGTCGGTGTTGATGTAGGAAATATAGAGAGAAGGAGGAGAAAAGGCTTTTTAGAGAGAGTGACATACAAACAATGAGATACACAGCCCAAGGAAAGAAGAAAAGCTTAATTTCAGATGCAGCC